CCGTTGGCTGTTTGTGGGGAGATTAGGTTTTCCCCCTTTTTTTTTTTTTTTTTTTAATCAAGGTACATCTTTGTCTTTCTTTCAGATATATACTAAAGAACCCAATTGGAAATCATTTAATATCAATTCTGTTTGCCTAGAGCCATTGGAGGACCAGAAACATGTAGCTAACTAGCTATTTGTTTCAAAATGTTAATGTTTTGTGACATTATATTGAATTTTATTTCAAACTTTGCTAAATATATCATTATTTTACCTTTGAGAACACTGAGATCAAAAGAGGTTCAAACAACTCAGTCAAAGCCTGTGGACTCTATGTGGGCAGTTAATAGAACCCAAAGCTTTGCATTTGTTCTTCTTATGGAACATGTTATTTCATTTGAATACCATTCTACTACTATAGAAGGTTGAAATATTTGAGAAAGCTGTGTTTTATAATGTAGCTTGTCCAGTGAAAACATTTAACTATGTTTATGGTGTTTATTTATTCTAGACAGTCAGTTTTACTTTTGGAAAACACGATGAGATCCCCTGAGGTAATGTACACTTTAACATCTGTATGTACAGGGAGAATTTCTGACCTTCAGGGTACACACTAAATCCACTGGTTCATGTTCTATCTAGTACCATCCAGTAGAACTTTCTGTGATGACAAATATTCTGTATCTGTGCTATCCAGTATAGTAGCCACTAGCCACATGCAGTTATTAAATGCTTGACAGGTAACGTGTGAGACTGAAAGTTAACCTTTATATTTCATTTTAATTCATCGAAGTGGAAATAACTACACATGGCTAGTGGCAGCTGTTTTTGCTGGACATTTAGTAGCTACATTAATACATTTTTCATTTGATTCAGTCCTTAAATCTTTGTTCAGAGCTCTTACAACTTCATCATGTGCCATTATGAATTAATCTCTTGACATTGAAAGAATTTAATTATGTTGGAATTGGGCTGGTTCCATGGCCTAGTGGTAAAGGGAGATGGATCCCACGTGGCTGACCATGGTTTGAATTCTAGCTAGAATTCAAATTTCTGGCTTGAAAAGCATGCAGAGTTGGGGCCAGCAGGTGGTGTGGTGGTTAAAGGCACTGGATTCCCATATGGCTGACCGTGGTTCGGGTCCTGGACCTGGTGGCTTGCTTTCTCACTCTCTCTCTCTCTCTCTCTTATTCTGTCCATCTCTGGTCAAATTAAAATAAATAAATAAATAAATAAATAAGTAAAGTTAAAAAAAAAAAAAAAAAATAAATAAGTAAAGTTAAAAAAAAAAAAAAGAAGAAGAACATGTATAGTACATGTGTATGTGTGCCCAAAATCCTGATAGGAAGGAGAAATGGGAGAAAAGGGACTACAGTGTGATCACACCCCACTGGGGATGCTTTTTCCCTCTCTCTCTGACTCTGTCTCTCTGTGTTAAGTGTATACACCTTCTGGCTAAATAAATAAATAAATGAATGAATGAATGCATATGTATATACATACACATACATATGAACCTAAATTGTGTGGGTCCAGGTTTATATTCACTTAGCACTAGAGTTTCATATAAGAAAATGTTCTGTGTTCACAGTCTAGTTAACCCTTTCTACTTGTAGATTTAAAAAATATAATAGCCTTGGGCTAGCCAGTGGCATGGAGGTTAGGGCGGTTGGATCCCACATGGCCAACTGAGATGTGCGAGTCCCAGACCCGGCCGCTTGAAAATCACACCAGGAGCATGTGCATGTGTGCTCAAAAATCCTGAGGAGAATGGAGAAAAAGGGACTGTGGTGTGGCCATCTCCCCAGTGATTTTTTCACTTCCTCTCTCTTGCTGTTTGTCTCTCTCCAGTTTATATATCGGCCCTTTAGCAAACTTAAAAAATAAAAGAATATTGTTAATGAACTGTAATTTAAATACTATATACTTCACCCATTTATCATGCATAATTGAGTGTTTTTGCTTTGTTTTGTATGGGAGAGGTTTTTGCTCTAGGGTGCGTGCGCTCTCCAGAAAGACAGAGAGAGACAGAGAGACAGAAAGTGAGAAATCACCCCCAGGGGGGATGGCCACGCAGCAGTCCCTTCTCCTCCGTTCTCCTCTCGGAATCTTGGGCACACACACGAGCCCAGCATGAGTTTAAGTCACCAGGTCTGGCACTTGAACCACAGTCAATTACATGGGAGTCTAGTGATATAGCCATTATGCTAACTGCTGGTCCTGAGTGTGTGTTTGTTTTTTTTTTTTTAGAGAGAGATTTTTGCTGTAGGGCGCACATGCTTGCTGGAGAAATAGAGACAGACGCAGAAAATGAGAAATCACTGTCCCCGGGGGATGGCCATGCTGCAGTCCCTTCTCTTCCATTCTCTGCTTGAGATTTTGGGCTTGCACGTACACACACCCAGCATGAGTTTAAGCCACTGGGACCAGGACTCAAACCACAGTTGACTACATGGGAGTCCAGCAAAATAACCATTATGCTATCTGCTGGTTTTGGCATTTTAGTATAGTAAGAAGTGTGACACCATCACTGCAATCAATTTTAGAACATTTTCATCATCTCAGAAAGAAACTCCATATCCATTAGCCATCTCTTCCATCAGGCTTACTCCCCACCAATCTATTTTCTGTCTTATGGATTTGCCTATTTTGGACATTTCATGTAAATTGAATTATTTGCTTTGTTCAAACTATAGTGAGTACTTAGACTGTTGAATGAGTAAATGTGTACTGAGTGAATTACTGACAAAGTTGGGACTAGAAAGTCTCTTAATTCATGGCCTCATGTTTTTCCCCACATTATGCCACTTTTTAGGTAGCACATGAACATTTTCCTAGTTTTATCTGTGCATCTATAAAAATCCAAGAGAAAACTAGCAGATAAATAACCTAAGCTTCTCTCTCTCTCTTATTTTAAGCCAGTTTTACAATGTTGTAGATTTAGTTTATTCCTAGTGGGCATGTACACTCGCCAGAGACAGACAGAGAGGGAGACGAGAAAGCACCCCCGTGGGAAATGTTCACACCACAATCCCCTCTTCCATTTTTCCTCTAGGGATTTTAGACATGCACATACATGCACCCAGAGGGGTTCTCAAGTCGCTGGGTTTGGGACTCAAACCATGCCATTGAGTATTGGGATCCACTGCCTTAACCACCAGACCATGAACTTAGCCTCCCAAGCTTCTCTTTTAATGATATTTTTGGAATATTTACAGCTGAAGGCAGATACAACCTCTACACAGCAGATGGCAAATACATCTTCAAGGAAAGAGAATCATTTGATGGCAGAAACATTTTAAAGGTCAGTATAAACTAGAGATAATTGGAAATCCTTTGGCACGTATCCTAAATAAGGAAGGAAAATAAGTTGTTCTACTTAATACTTTTTTTTCTTTAAGTTTTTGTAATAGGGTGTGTGTACTTGCCAGAGAGAAACAGAGAGGGAAAGTGAGAAATCACCCTTCCAGGGGGATGAATACACCATAATCCCTTCTCCTTTATTGTCCTCCTGGGATTTTGGGCACATACACACGTGTCCATCATGATTTTCAAGCCATTGGGTCCATGGCTTGATCCGCAAACAGCCATGTGGGAGTCCAGCGCCTCAACAGTCATGCCACCTGCTGGTCCCTACTTCTTACTTTTAAGAGTCTATTCTTCTCATGTTTTCATGAAAATCATTGCAAGGGCTGTTTATATTAATAAATTTATTTTAACATTCTCAAAGCAAAGATAAATCCTTTTGATTTTGCACCCTTAAAATACTTGAAATTGATAATTTAAGAAACAATTTGGGGGACCAACAGGCGGCATGGTGGCTGGGGACACTGGATGCCCACATGGCCAACTGCAGCTCAAGCCCAAACCTGTTGGCTTGCTTTCTCGTTTTTCCCCTCTGTCTTTCTCTGTCTCTGTCTGATCAAACTGGAAAATAATAATAAAAAATAAGTAATTCTTTTTTTTTTTTTTTAAAAAAGGAAGCAATTAAGTATCCCAAGTACTTGATTCTATAGGAATATGTTGTTTTTAATCTGGTGAGCTTTACTCTGTACTTACCCCTGTAGGATTGAGGTGTTGTTGTTGTTGTTTTTTTTTTTTTAAGTGAAAAATAATTGTTTGTCTTGTCCTAGTCGAAAAACTTTGCTTCACCTATGAATTCAGTCTCCAAAGCTGCTTTATAATGTTTTCACTCAAGAACAGCCCATGTCCTGAAAAGTTGGTGGTCTGTTTCTGACCGTTGAGGCTTTGCTTTTCTGCATGTTGAATTAATCTGTGAAATTCAAGTAAAAGGGGTTTTTCAGATTTGCATTTATCTTTTTCCCACAGACTGTATTCTGTATATCCATGCTTTGTGCCTTCCCTATCAGGTTAACTTACCATTGTTCCTCTAGGCAAAGCGAAATATTAGCTGATGCCAATGGGCCGGCTTTTGAGCCTTCATTTCACTTGTTTTATAATGGTTTAGGTCAGATATTTTCAAGGCCAAGGGTGTTTTTTGGAGATGAAGGAGAGAGTATAGTATAAAAAGTCACAAGCTTCAGCTTTAGAAAATCTCTTCTTCTTTCCCTACCCCATTTCTCATGCCCTAACCTTGACACTTGTCAGTTCTCTTGCCAGCGCCTGATGTGACCCCATTGCCTCTAGTGACATCACTCTTCAGCAGCTGTGAGCTTTTTTCTCCAGAGCCCAAGAGGGCAAGTGGCAGCCATTCACTCAGGCAGGCATCCTAGCACCCACATGGGAGAGCCATGTTGATTCCTTTCTTTCCTTGTTATTTTTATCTTTCCTCTTTTTGAATAGTTTTCTTGTTTTTTAAAGTAGCTTTAGGTTTGGGGCAGGCTGCTAATGAATTCAATTGTAGTTAATTTTGCTATTTTTCCTAGGCCATAGCTTCAGTGCAATATGAATTATTCTTCTCATTCTTCTTTGGGGGTTTTCCAATAATACCATTAATTTCACTTGTCCCACAGCATCCACAGGGAGACTGGTTCTAGTACTCCCCTCAGATAACAAAATCCACATATGCTTAGTTCCCATATACAAAATGGCATAGTTTTTGCATATCATCTGCACACGTCCTCCCATATACTTGAAATCAACTCAAGGTTACTTATAATAAATGCTAATTTTGTGTAAATAGTTGTTATATTGTATTTTTTTAATGTGTATAATTTCTTACTGTTGTAGTATTTTTTATTGGTCTCCCCATCACTCCCCACTCCCTGCCCCTGTTCTGAATATTTTTGATCAGCAATTGATTGAATCCACAGATATGAAGGGCAGACTCTGCTTTGTTTTTTGTTGTTGTTAATTCAAAGAAAGAAAATTGTGGCCAGCAGGTGGTGTAGAGCTAAGGTGCTGGACTCCCACATGGCTGACTGTGGTTCAAGTCCTAGACCCAGCAGCTTGAAACTCACGTTGGGCGTGTGTATGCATGTCCAAAATCTTAGGGGGAGAATGGATTACAGTGTGGCCATTCCCCCTTGGGGGTGAGTTCTCACTTCCCCTCTCACTGTCTCTTTGTCTCTCCAGCAAGTGCATGTGCCCTTTGGCAAAATAAATAAATAAATAGATAAATAAAAAAGAAAATAGACCGAATGGGTAAAGAAATCTGTAGGAATGGCTCAAAACCAATTTGGTTCTCCTGGAATTGAAATGGAAGTCTGCTGTGTTGATGCAAGTTAGATGTGAAGTGCTTTGACCTCTGTAAGAGAGAGGGGATGGCAGGGAGCCTTTGTGAACAGCATGGATAACTCATTGATACCAAAATTTCTCTCATTTTGGAAAGTCAGTTTTTCATGTAAATATGCTTTGTCATGAAATCTTCCAAATCACCCTAGCGATGACATGAATGTAGCTCCCTCTAGTGTTGACAGGGATTATTATATCTGTAGTACCCTTACTGATTGATTGCCTAATCAGTTTGAGAACCAGAGCCCACCTAGATTCTTGAGGACCATTTTATTTAATTCCCCCAATTTAATGTTTGACACAAGATCTACTATGGTTAGAGACTTAGTAAAGTTGCTGCTATTAGCCAAGTCTGGTTCAGACTCCAAACTTAGAAATTTAACATTGTTTCTGCTGCCTGACATAATGTTCACTGTGCAGGCAGAGATCATTAGATATTTGAAATTGAGTGTCTGTCTGAATTGGGATAATGTCTGTTTAATGTCATTTCATTGAAAAAAAACCCCTCGTTTCATAAATGTTGGGGTGCCATTGCCAGTTAGCCTAAAACTAATTAGGAAGTAGACTTTTATATTGAATATAATGCTTAAACACTAACAGAAATGCTTATTCACTGTGTACCGTATGCCAGACATGTGCCCTGAAGATGAAAACAGTCATTATGATACAGTCCCTACCTTCCAGAGCCTCCCATCTTTGAGAGATTCAGGCAGTTAATAGGCAATTATAGCACAGAATGGTGGGAGTGCATTATGGAAGAGACATGCATTTGAACAAAGATAGTTATGACAAAGTGCTCTTTAGTATAGTTTCCAGTATTTGACTCCTAATCATTAGTTCTAGAAAACATAATCTTTATGTTCACCTATATTCAATAAAGAAAGTTAGCTTCTTTTTGAGAATAAAGGTAAACTGTGGGCTCCAACAGTCACCCCACCCCTACACACAGAAGTAATATATTTGTGAGGGGCTAGAACAACTGAAGACTTTCTGCTCAGACTTCACCCTCCAGACCCCAATCTGGAGTGGTAGGGCACCCTCTGTATTCTTCTCTCTGTCTCTCTCTCTAATTTTCTTTTTTAATTATTTTTTATTTTTAAAGTAAAGTGTTTTCTTGGCCCTTGGATCCTCCTTTATCTTGCTAATTCTCACCTTTCCCTCCTCTCATTTAGGAGAGGCAAAGGGCAGGCCCTTTGAGAAGCCATCTGTGTTTGAGCTGGGAGTAATTTGTTCTGTGTTGCCCGCTAGCACAATGATCATTTTTTGCTTTTAAAAATTATTTTTATTATTGTTTTTTCTTTCTTTTTCTTTTCTTTTTTCTTTCTTTGTTTTCTTCTCTTTCCTTTTTCTTTTATTTTATCACTTTGTTGCTCCATCTACACACTGAGCATTTAGACAGGTTTAAGTACACAGTAGCCAAACATAAGATTACTATTAGGGTCAGAATAATCCTCAGTTCTCACAGAATCTGCTGCACAAAGGGAGAAAAATGGTACTGCAGAGAGATTGCAGATCATCTCCTCCTACACGCCTTTGAATGCTCAGATTGAACTTCAAGAAATTAGAAAGAAACATATAATCCATCAGATGACCAGAAACCACCACCGAGGCACAAGAAATATGAGAAACCAAGAAAATATCTCTTCTCCAAGGAAAAAGAACAACGCCTCTTCATCCACAGACAGTACAATGGAACTTGTGGAAATGTCTAATAAAGAATTTAGAATATTCATCGTGACAGAGCTAACAGAGATGCAAAAGAAGAGAGACAATGAACTCCAGAAAATGAAAAAGAAAAGAGACAACCAGGAGGTGAGGAAGTTCTTGCACCATCTGAAAGAGGAAATACACACCATAAAAAGAATCAAATGGAATTATTAGAGATGAAGGCTATAATACAGGAAATCAAAACCTCCCTTGAAAGTAATAAAAGCAGATTAGATCACACAGAAGATCGAATCTCAGATGCAGAATACAGAATCTCTGACCTAGAAAAATTCACCACAAAGACTAAGAAAATAACCCCCCAAAATGAGAATAACGTATGAGAAGTACTAGATACCATTAAATGTCCAAACATCCGGATAATTGGTATCCCAGAAAGTTAAGAAACTAATAAGGGCATTGATAATATATTCCATGAAATTCTGGGAGAAAAGCTTCCAAACCTAGAGAAGCATTCAAATATCCAGACCCAAGAAATCCAAAGGACCTTGGGACCGGCAGGTGGCATGGTGGATAGGGGTACTGGACTCCCACATAGCCGACACAGTTCAAGTCCTGGACCTGGAGGCTTACTTTCTCACTTTCTCTCCCTCTGTCCCTTTCTGGTCAAATTAGAATAAATAAATAAATAACGTTAAATAAAATAATTCTTAAAAGCTAACCAAAACAAAAAAAAGTACAAAGGAACCCAAATAGAATCAACCCAAGAAGATCTTCTCCTAGGCACATCATAGCCAGATTGACCAAAACCATAGACAAAGACAAGATACTAAAATTGGCAAGAGAGAAACATCAAGTTACTTACAAAGGATATCCCATCAGGCTAACAGTGGACCTCTCATTGGAAATAATGCGAGCAAGGAAAGAATAGGAAAATATAAAATGTTAAGTGAAAAACAATTTCAAACAAGAATTCTTTTTTTTTTGGAGAGGTTTTTGCTATAGGATGCGTGCGCTCGCCAGAAAGAGACAAAGAAACAGAAAGTGAGATGTCACCGCCCCACCCCCGGTGGGGGGATGACCACGCCACAATCCCTTTTCCTCCATTCTCCTCTCGGGATCTTGGGTATGCACGCACACGCGCCCAGTGTGAGTTTCAAGCCACCGGGTCTGGGACTTGAACCGCGGTCGACTACATGGGAGTCCAGTGACATAGCCATGACGCTAACTGCTGGTCCCTCAACTAAGAATTCTTTACCTTGCAAGATTATCCTTCATATGGGAAGAAAAGACAGAAACATTCTCAGATAAACAAAACCTGAAAGAATTTACCAACACCAGACCTACTCTCTAAGAAGTTCTGAATGGAGTGCTATTCCAGGAAAACTAAAGACACACACACACAGAAATAAGAATCCAAAAAACAAGCAAGAAAATGGCCAACTTAATGGTGGGGACAAGTCTGGAGTTGAATGTGAATTTCCAGAATTTAAATGGAAAGATCGGACCACAACAGGAGAGAGATTAATTACATGAAACTGAACTGGTAAAATAGAATCTTAGGACTTTTGACTAAAACATTACTGATTTTTTTTCTGGGCTTTGTTTTTAAGATTTAAGGATTTTAAAAAATTAGTTATTTAATCTTATTTATTATTATTCAATTTGACCAGGGAGAGACAGAGAGAGAGAGAGAAAGCAAGTTACCAGGTCTGGGACTTGAACCATGGTCAGCCATATGGGAGTCTAGCACCTTAACTGCCATGCCACCTGCTGGCCCCCCAGATTTAAGGATTTTTGTCTCTTTGTCTTCTCTTGAGCTGTTGATAGGTTCATCTACTTACTATTTGAACA